TGACTATTGAAGTTCTCGCAAATCAATAGTCTTCAACGACTTTAATGAGTGAAAGGTTTTATTGAAGGATTTAATAAAGTTATTACTTAAATTGATATATTCCAAACGATGACTTTGAGCGAAACAGTTTCCAATGCTCCTTATGAAATTGCCTTCAAGATTAATAACCATCAAATTTTCCAAATTGTTGAAAAGATCTTCAGGTATGGTTGACAATGCATTAAAGCTCAAATCGATATTCTATATTAAAAAAAAATACACAATTAGTTAAATATTCATTAGTTATCGCAGCAGTTCTCAATTTGTTTCAGTATCAGAACTCTAAATAATCAATCTTTTATTGGCAGACTTTAAAAATAAAGTTTATTAAAGTAATTTTGAACATTATTACCTATAAAAGACTATTTTAAAATATTTAATTAGAGTTATGAAGATTTTTAATAGTCTTGTTATTAATGATCTTAAATTATATTTTATGTCCGGTAGTTGAATTTGCAGTCCTTGTGCTACATCTAGTCTAGTTAAGAATTAATTTTTGGCATGAATACATTTGATGAAAACGAACAAAATAAGATAAATTACGGTTTATTTCAAAATGAAAACTTAAAAAGAACAGAGTTGATAATGGTTATTAACACGTTGAGCACCGCTGGACTTTCCATTTAGACCTCGTAAACCACCGGTGACTGACACTGAAATTACATTTAGGCTGCGTCAACCACCGCTTGCTGACACTGACCTTTCACATAGGTCGCGAAAAACAGCTGGCTGACAGCGTATGACATGATATAGAACTATAAAATTTACTCTCTTTTATGGAATTGCAGAAAATTTATTCAAAATTTACTTAATTATTGTGATTCTTAGTTTAATAAATTCAATTTTGTGGATTTTTATCCACCACTATTATAAAAAAATTCGTAGGCATATATAATTCACCATTTTTTTCTGATATGTTATGCTAAACCTTTTATAAACTAGCAAAATATGTCTATATTTGCAAGTTTAGTTTGTTTGTAGTTATTTACCGTGTGGCCAGACGAGCAAGCCATGTAAAATTAGCGTGGCATTAAACGTGTTAAGGAAACATATTTCTTTATTAAAGATATTAGTTATTTTATTTGGATTTGAAAAGTGTGAAAATATTACTAATGAAATATTTCCTAATTGCTTGTTCTTTTCATATCTTCTTCAATATATTATTAGAAATACCAGATTTTCTTTTAAAATTGTTATTTATAATTCTTTGGCATTTTAATTGAAATAATTTTATTAAGGTAACCGAAATATTAAATAAATTAGGAATTAAAATTTGGATCTAAATATTATCCGAGGTTTCAAAACACATTACTCATGATAAAAAATGATAGCTACCGGAACCCCTTTAGCTCTTCCACGGAACTCTAGGGTTCCGCGAAGCACCATTTGAAAACCGCTGAGTTAAAGTATTTGCAGAGTGAACTAAAACAATGAATTGCGTTTTAAGGCTGTTCTAAGACAAATAAAAATGAAATCTTTAAAAAAACTCGTAGCAGTTGGCAGCAATGGTTTTTATTACTAATTTTAGATCTCCATGCACTCACTAAATTCCAAAACCGGGAACTACTGGGAATGCTCATTGAAAGGATCTAAGAGTCTTTGATCCTATAGTCGGAATCGGGTGTTGGAGATAAGGATGTGAATCAATCAGATATAGTCGGGAATTGATTCAAAGTAATTTGTATTAGAAGCGGCTGCTGACAGGTCTCATTCATAAATATTTAAACAAACATTCTTTCTTGAGGGAAGTTCCATGGTAAAATTTGATCAATAATTTCAATATTAGGTGCATTTTATATTTGTTATCAAAATTTTATTTTTAATCAATAATGTATTCACCCTCGTTAGTAACAACCTTTTAATGCCGGATCGAGAAAAATGAAAAATTCTTTGAAGATTCACGAATATTTAATACACCGAAAATACATTAATTTCCGGTCCCCTAATATTTTAAGAAGATTTGGTAGGAAAGAAAAATTCTCTCGGTAATTAGTTCTTTAATATATATAGCGAAAAAGAAAAAGAGATATTACCCAGAATTAATGATCGAAATTTCACAAACTAAGTACCAATCTTAAAAGTTTTTAGAGGTGATTTCATATATACTGATTAATTAGTACTAACTATTATTTTAGTTACAGAATCATACTCAAATTCGTACTTTCTCTGAAAAAACATTCATTTTACTTGGATGGATTCCGAGTTTTGTTTATCAAAATATTGTGGACAACAGCAGCTAATAAAATATATTTCTCAATATTTTAGATAGAAGAGTGGTTGAAAGTTTAACCTCTCATTGTATATTTTATGTAGGCGTATTGTTAAATGTCTAAGACTTTTTGAAGTGAATCTAGCTATTATGAATCTTTTAAAGCTAGACATTTTTAAGTGAAGAGCGCAATTATAAATTACACAATTATAATTAGCACACAAAAATTCGATTATCAAAAGAGGTGAAAAATTTTTTTTATAGTCATTTATTATTTTTTAATATTTAATTTAATATAATTTGAAAATATTTTAAATCGTAAGGTAGGTAAATTTCCCCCCGTTTTAAACATTTTGCTTACTATGCTTGAAAACGTTAAGAAGCAGATATTTTTATTATTCAAAAGTGACATTTTGAATAAAAATTTACCTCTTGCCTATAGTCAACCATATAAGAATAGATTGTTGAAATACTTTTTTGTTAAGGTAATAATCAGTTAATTGTGTGCTCTAGCTTTCAAAGGGCAACACGTATGCGGTAGAACACGTTTTCGGAAATTTCCGATCGTTTACTCTTATTAAAACAAACCCCACCAGCCTGCTGCATACTTGGAGGATTATGGATGTTTAATATTCACAATTTCGTGACCAACGATATGATAGTGGCAATAAGGACAGCATTGTGTACATGGTACTTTTCCTTCAAAGTGAAGCTGTTACCGAAAGTTCTATCAAAAGCTAGGTGTGAGCTTCGAGCCGTTAGAGGGAATGGAACCTCAATACGCCTCAATTACAACTCATTGCTTTATCCATGAGACATTGCTGGTTTCATTACTTTTATTATGGAAATACATGTTAAAGCAAGAAGGAAAAAGTTAAAAATAGAAATATGTAATGAAAATTACCATCAAATTTGGATTTTGAAATAAACCACCAACTGTTATGAGATTGTTCTTGTCCAATTTGACCAAGCGTAAACTCGGGCACGGATCAAATGTTTTATTATCTAAACTACGCAACCTATTACTCGTTAGAATAATTGATTGGAGATTTAGATCACCCAAAAAAGCACTGCCTAATAGTGAACTTATTCTGTTTTGAGTCAGTGAGAGGTTTACAAGCTCAGACATAGATTGAAGTTCAGTTGTAATCTCAGTTAATTTACCATCTTCAATCTCAAGTGATTTCAAAGTCTTGGTGTTACAAATAGCACTTGGAATTTCATGAAATTTAGTGTGAGAAAGATGTAGTTTAAAGAGTAAATGAGCTTGGGCGAAGGCATTGTCATCTATACTCAGAAAGGGGCATCTCATATTTATATGATGTATCCTGACATTAGAAAATATATTATCAAATAACCGTGACACTTGCGAGTTTTTTTTCACTTGGCACTGAACAAGCACTTGATCAAAAACTTTTGATTCAAAATGACGACGAACTATGTACTTTCTAATTGTTAATAAGTTATCCACATTTTTACAAATAAGTCTCATGTGTTTTTCCACATATTGCACCTTGCATTTATCCTGTTTCGTGTCAACAACCAACAAAATGCTAAACATCACAAATAAAATCCCTAAAATAACATTCATTTTAGAAATGATAGTAAAGAGTGAAAGTTAGTTTTTGGAAGAAAACAGGCTTGCAGATAAATCTCAAGTTCAATTATCAAAACTTTTAACCATTTTCTGAGAATAATAACTGGTAGTAAATTAATCCTAAAAACAACAATCCTACACCGAATCAATTCTTCAATAATGATAATCTATGAAATAGAAGTTTTTATTTTTATTTTATTTTATTCTGTTAAAATATGTTTCAGGAAAAGAAATTATCTTCAACGTATTAGTATTCGGTTAGAAGGACGCTGATTGCGATAAGCAGGCTTTAAAAATATCATTTTGTAAACAAAAGTAGATACCAACGATCACTTTTGCGATCTGCATACATATTCCAGTTTCTTGAGGAAAAAAAATGATATTAATATAGCTATGTCAGTTAGTTACTTTATTATGAGGAATCTAATAAGCCAGATTAATATGAGGTTTTAAACATTGGTTCACAATTTTTATTACATAACATGTATAACTCAATAAGGTATTCAATTATTTGTTCTGGTTTATTTATTACTTTTTGTCACAGAAGTAAGGGCCTAGTAGAAAATACTCTAAACAATAAATAATTATAATGATAATAATAAACTGCAAGTTTAAAGTATTTGTCCCTAATAATGAATACGTTTTTCGTTTTTGTAATTTCTTTTTAATAAAAGGATTAAATTTCATATATGTGGAGGGAAATATTTTTCAGTTATAAAGATACAAAATACTGCAAATAATACTGTCACTAGGGCTCGATTACTCTAATTTATTTGAGGCAAAAAATATTCAGTATTTCTACTTAAACAGCTATTTCTATCTCAAACGTTGTTAATAGTTACATGTTCACAGAAGCCCCATACCTATATGTCCATGCTTGCAAAGGGAAGTCATTAGATCGTTTAAACTTATTATTGGTAAATTAAAATGAAGGCAAAAAATATGACTATTGAAAGTGCAATTATAGATCAAATTAGAAAATTACCTTCCCACCCTAAAAACCATATTCTTTCTTCTAATTTGCTAACTTATCAAGTGTTTTATCATATCACTTTATACAAAAATTTCAAATAAATGAAGAAAATTACCATCAAATTAGAATTCCGAAATAAGCCATCAACTGTAAGGAGATCATTCTTGTCCAATCTAACCAAACGTAAACTCGGGCACTGATCGAATATTTTAATATCTAAACTGCTCAACCTATTGCTCGTTAAAATAATTGATTGGAGTTTTAGATCTCCTTTAAAAGCACTGCCTAATAATGAACTTATTCTGTTTTGAGCCAGTGAGAGGTTTACAAGTTCAGACATTGATTGAAGTTCAGTTGTAATCTCAGTTAATTTACCGTTCACAATCTTAAGTGCTTTCAAGGTCTTGAGGTTACGAATAGCACTTGGAATTCTATGAAATTCAGTGTGAGATAGATGTAGTTTAAACAGTAAATGAGCATGGGGGAAGGCATTGTCTCCTATGCTTAGAAAGGGGCATCTCATTTTTATATGATTTATCTTGAGATTAAGAAATAGATTATCTAATAACCGTGACACTTGCCAATTTTTTTTCTGTTGGCACTGGACGAGCACTTGATCAAAAACTTTTGATTTAAAATGACGACGAACTAAGTCCTCTCTAATTGTAAATAAGTTATCCACATTTTTGCAAATCAGTCTGAATTTTTTGTTCACATTTTGCACCTTGCATACATCCTTTTTCGTGTCAACTACCAAAAAAACTTTCATCACAATTAAAATCACTAAAGTAACATTCATTTTAGAAATGATAGTAAATACTGAAAGTTTGTTCTTGCAAGAAAGCAGACATGCAGATAACAATCAAGTTCACTTATCTGAACTTTCAATTATTTTGTAAGAGTAGTAACTTGAAGTAAACTAATCCTAAAAACAACCATCCTACACCAAATCCATCCTACAACAACGAAAATCTATAAAATAGAAGATTTTATTTTGATTTTTTTATTCTGATAAAATGTGTTTCAGGAAAAGGGATTATCTTCAACGTATTAGTATTCTGTTAGAAGTAAGATGTTTGCGATAAACACGCTTTAAAAATATCAGTTTAAACACAAAGTTTGACACCAACGATCACTTTTGCAATTTGCATACATATTCCAGTTTTGCGAAAAAAAATTACGAAGTACAATTAAAATAGTTATGTAAGTTAACTATTTCATAATAAGGAATCCAACATTCCAAATTAATATAAGGTTTTAAACATTGGCTAATAATATTTTATTACAGTACCTATATAACTCGATAATAGTATTCTATTATTCGTTCTAGTTTATTTATTAATTTTCGAGGAGAAGAAAGGGCCTGGTAGAAAATACTCTAAATAATAAATAATTATAATTATAATGAATTAAGTTTGAAGTTTTTGTCCCTAGTAATGAATACGATTTTTGCAATTTCTATAAACGGATTAAAATTGATGTATGTCGAGAGAACTATTTTTCAGTTATAAAGATTGAAAATCTATACATATATTTCTCTTACACGGCGACAAAAAAAGGCTCATTACAGCTCCCCGAATGGCAACGCTAGAAAATCGACCAATGATTGCCGCTAAAAATGTCACATGCCAAATTTAGCTGAGATGGCTCAACATATAGCTCTTTTAAAAACGGAAACTGAAATAACCAGAGAGAGCATAAGCTAGGCAGAAGTGAGTAGTCTTTGTCGATAGATCTCTATTTTAGTATTTTGTCGAAAGCGCTTTTTTTCACGAATTTATATATTACGAATTTATTTGACGATTTTTGACTTATATCACGAATTTATTTGTTTTACTAGAATTTATTTGTTTATGCAGGTTTTTCCATTCACTTATTTCAATTTTTAATAGACTTAATTATAGCCAAA